GCTGGGAGTTGAAGTCCAGACACCTTAAACTTGCCAAGGGTGAAAAATATTGCGATAGAAGAGTAGTGTTTCTATTATTACGGTCAGACTAGAGTTATAGACAAAAGCATATTAAAAAAAAAATCGAGTAAAAACAAAAACTGGACAAGTACCAATTAAAATTGATAAGCAAAGTCTGTCTAATTTTTACCAGCAATACGTATTTGGCACTAGGCAACATACCCCATGGAGTCATTTTTTCAGTGATATTTCCTTTATTAAACAGAAACAAACCGTCACTGAACATTGAAAATCAATTTGATCACATGACTGCAATAGCAGCCCAGTAATGCAGCTGTCACTAATAGCCACAGTTCCCCAAATTTAATTCCTTCATGGATTCTGGATTTTTTTGGGGGGGTGGGGGTGCATTCTTTATTTTAGCCCATTTGAGGTAGCTTGGTTCAAAAATTGTTGCCCTCAGAGACAGTTTCACCTGGTTAAAAAGCCATGAGAGTTTTAGCAGTAGATACGATAAATAGCATTTCTTGAACAACAGTAATCAAGCTTCAAGAAAATGGCTCCAAACTTACATTTAATTTGAAAGAGGTGGGGTTTTGAAAATCTTCCCAGAGAGTGGAATCAGGCTTGTCATGAGGATGGATAGGAGAACTTATGCCAACCTGCCCTCTAGGCTTCCTAAGAGATGTTGGGATTGAAGTCTCACACATCTCGAGGACTGAGAATGGTTGCCTGACTGTAAGGACTTCACTATCTCAAGCAGCAGAGATGGTGAATCAGAAAGAAATAGCTCATCCCTTCAGTCAAAACTAAAGAAGCTTCTTGGATGAGGAGGAAAATGTATTCCAGGAAAACAAAGAGAGTCCAATCGCCTCTTGGGAAGAAAAACACCATTGGGACAACCATGACCTGGATGATTGAGAATCTCCTGAGACAGAATAGAATAAAAAAGAATTCTTTATTGTCCAAGTGTGATTGGACCACAAGGAATTTGTCTTGGTGCAAATAATCTCAGTGTACGTAAAAGAAAAGATACATTCGTCAAGAATCATCAGGTACAACACTTAATAATAGTCACAGGGTACAATTAGGCAATCAAATCATATTAGGAAACAGCCAATATAAATCGTTAGGATACAAGCAACAAGGTTACAGTCATACAGTCATAAGTGACGGGGTAGGTGAAAGGAAGGCTGGGATAGTAATAACCTTTCATTTAATGAAGGAATGCAGGCTTTTTTAAAAGGCTGAGTTTGAGCACAATAAAATGTCACGTTTCCTCACCCAAAATGGGTTGAGCATGATGCATCAATTCCCTTTAATAGAATAGAATTAGAATAGAATAGAATTCTTTATTGGCCAAGTGTGATTGGACACACATTATAGACATGAGGCTGATGTCTTTGAGAAGGCAAGTGTCACTTGTGCTCACTCAACCACTCTTGATATCCCTGTCTGTTGAGGGGGGGAAGGAATGCTGGATGTCTTTTTTCTTTCTTTCTTTTTTAGAAAACCAGACCTGAACTGATGCAATGTTCGTTGCTAAAAAGGTTACAATGCTATTGAGACCTTCAAATATTTGAAGAGCTGTTCATAGTTAGAGGAGTGGCTGGCTTTCTAGAAAGTAGCATTGGGTTGAAATTACAAACATAAGAATTTCACAAATTCCTGCTGGATAGGTCAGCTGATTGGAAGTAAGATCAGGTTCTCTCTGCTTTATTTAAAAAAAAACAACCTGATTTTATGCAGACAGTTCAACAGTGGAGGAAATGCTTTTGTAGGTTTTGAATTAAATGATCATTTGAAATCCTAATAGTTGTTGCAATTTTGTAAGCCCAGCACTAAAAGCTGCACTCAAAATCCAACTCTCCTCTGTTGCAGTTATTTTCAAAGGATTTTCAATGACGTTTTCCCCCCTCATAAATATAATCCACAAATTTCTCCATTTTGTTGAATTGTAGGTTCAATCTGGCCAACTCCCCTGTATATTTTGATAAAAATAATTATTCTTAGGTCATGGTTTTGATTTTTTTTTTTTTATAATTGTTGCAGAATTTTCTGCCTGCTTTCTCAGTGAAGACACTTATTTAAGATCCATGGTAAAAATGTTTGTGAGGTAGAGAGCTCACATGTCACATTTCTATCCGATATTCTGTTCTCAAGTTATCCGTCATACCTGGGAAATGTCTAAGGAGATTTTTAGGATCATTTAGATAACATTTGTAGAACAGACTGTGCTCTGATGGGAGTTTATGATTCACTTCTTTTTATCTTAGACAGAAATGACTCTCAATCTGGATTGCCAGAAAGAAAGTATTCAAAAACAAAAGAAACAGGCAGAAAAGAGTCCGAAATGGAGCTGAGTGGAAAAGGATTGAGATAGTCCTAAAGCAGGGAAGGTAGAAGGTGGACTAGGGTAGTGTAGAGGAGTGATTCTCAACCTGAGGAAGTCTGGACTTCAACTTCCAGAATTCCTCATCCAGCCATTGCTAAGGTTGAGAAACACTGCTCTTAAAAGATTGTAGGGTACTTCTAACTGGGTTTATTTCGAGGCCTAGTTCCAGTTTGAAGAACTTGAAAATGTTTTGAATGATAGCACCTGCAGATTAACAGTAATGCTGGATTTCCAAGGAACTGAAAAAGATAATATCAGTAGCCTGAAATATTTGTGTGGGGGAATGTCTTGAATTGAGCATGTGTCTAGGAGAGAAGTCTCACTTCTTCACTGGGATGGTTGTACTGGAAAGTTTGCACAAGACCCTTCTTCTTATAATCATCATATCTATATTTCAAACAAAGGACTCAGCAGCCCAGGGCCCTCAATTTCTAGACCTAATTTAGAAAACAGCCTGTAGGCAGTCAATTCAGTCATTGCATGAAGACTTCTGCTTCTTCCCCATAACCTATTCTGCAAGCGTAGAAGAAAAGGGGGGGGGAAAGAGGGGAAGAAAGATTTAAGATACACATTGTACTTGAATCCTGATTTCATTAACTGATTTATTTAATACGCCACTGTCCGCAGGGTTCATACAACACCTAGTAAGCCACACTATAGTGCATGAATAGCCTGTTCTGACCTAGGTTTCCCCAACAGCACAAAGCCGAATCTTTGTCCTGACAAAATCCCTTTTATTTAGTTTACAGGGAATTCCCCTCCAGCAAAGTCCTGGCCAACAGTCTTTCAAGGTATTTCACAATTACAGACCTTTATCAAGCTTGGAGAGTTGCCAGGCCGATATCTTTCAGGTGCCACACTGTTGCAGACAATACTTGGCAGGAACGCAGGAACAGATCTTTACCCAAATGAAATAATTGCCTCCTGCAAACCCCACTCCCCTTTCGCTCCTCTTTTATTCCCTATGGGAGGGGCCATTCACTATCCACCTGTGGCTTTACTCCCAAGTCGACCCTTGTTTCTTAGCTGTTCCCCACTTCTGGTAGCTCTACGCATGTGCACACTGGGAACAGGCTCCAACTGCTCTTCTGCCTCACTGATATCCGACTCCGAAGGCAGCTGATAACTCAGACGGCCCTGGCCCCATCTCTGCCTCCAACACAGAGCCCTCTCAGAGCCTTCCCCAGACTCCAGGACTGGCCCATGTTCCTCCCCGACCTCCTCACTGTCCGAATCTGCTGCCACTGGCTGTTGGCAGGCCACAACATAGCCAGAAAGAACGAAAGACGCTTATTTACCCTCGATTTTCTAAGGCCTTTTTGCTTCATCCCTGTTTGAGACCAAATGGTAGAGTGGAAAGAGAAGAGCCAGAACCTTTTGCGTTCCAGGGATACAACGCCATTATCTACAAGCACTTTCCCAGAGGTAATTTCTCGGGAGCCACTCCAGGCTGCCTTCTCCACTCTTCTGGCCAGACCTAGCTGCTGCCTGAGTCATGTATCTGTGAGGAATATTTTTGGAATGCAAATGTTGCAAGGAGGTTTCTTCAGGTGCTGATCCCAAGCTCTTGGGGATCATTAGCATGGGGAGGGACTGAGGCAGACTTATTACCTGGCCACCCACTCGATTTACATAGTTTCAGTGCATCCTTGGTGGAAGAGGGGTGGCTCCTATTCATCGGTCTCCATTCTCATTTGCAGACAGTGTCCGGAGACCAACTGGGAACCCTGTGGTGTTAACCTCAGTCAACATGTCCTGGAAGCTGCAGATCCCCCAGCCTCAACCTCATCTCAGCCTGGTTCTTGAAGACCAAACGAGCGTAGGGAACGATAGATTGGCTGAGGCTGGATCCCCAGTGGATGCTGTTCCCCATCCGCTGGGTTTCTTGCCCATGAGTGGACGGCTTCTGAAATCTGAATCCGAAGATTCCGGCGTGGAGTTGGCCAGTGGCGATCATGTCCCTTTGACCCCGGCGGAATCCGAAAAAAGCTTTTCCCTGGATTGTCTAGATGGAGAGGATTCTGTTCCAGCCCTTCAGGAGGGTCGCCCCAAAGAAAGGCCAGAGGCACCACTACCCGTTCTGGATTGGGCCTGTCAGGATTTCCATTTCAAAAGGAAGCTTGGCAACGTGGTCCAGAGGTCCCAGAAGAACCACCTGTCTATCCCCAAGAAGCCTCCTCCAGATTTGGAGGAGTTGAAGTCCTGCCCCCACCCATGCCAGCCAGTGAGGGCTGAAGGGATTCTGAATGAGACTTCTGGAGGATACAGTCAACCTACCTCAGGTGGCAGCTTCATTGAGGAGGAGAAAGGCAAAGGAGAGGTGAGTGTTGGGAAGAGGCCAGTTGGCCCAAGTGGACCTGAGGAGTCCTCGGAAACTGCTCTGGTGGAGCAGAGGCAGCTGCTGGCAGCGGGACTGAAAGTGGAGGGGCTTTGCAGTGGCATCCCTGGTGATGTGCCTGAGCAGAGAGCCAAGGGTCACTATTAGCTATGTCTTCCCTCTGGGGCTACTCCATCTCTCCTCCCACTAGCCGGGGGGGCGGGGGTAGTTTCGTATGGGAGAAGCTCTTGAATTCCACCTGGAATGACGCCTTGCATCTTTGCCTCTTGCTAGGGTATCCCCGTGTCTACACCTTGCAGGTAGAGAGGCTCTTTCTCTGCTGACCTACTTTGCAGCAGGGCGTTCTGCTTCTACAATAAGTACTGCAGGCGGTCATATACTTGCCAAGAAGGCTGGTTACCATTGGGCAAATCGGGCCATCAGTGGCTTGCTCAGTAAACCACGTCTTTTTGCAGTCTGTGAAGCCATATCAGCTCCTTCGATGTTCATGGGATATTTGCAGAGGCTGAACTCTTCGTCCAGGCTTCATGTCCCCTCTGTGTGTATGGGGCAGGTGTAGAATGCCAGCACAAATTCCTGATGCCCTGGGATAAGCTGAAGGAATCGAGACGTTCGGTCTAGAGAGATGTCTTAAGGGCTCATGATGACCATGTTCAAGAAGAAAAAGGGAAACTCCAGAAAAGGTGCACAAGAATTATTTTCCATGACCACAGGAACTAGGACCAGAAAAGATAGGTGTAATTGTCCTAACTGGTATAAGTTGCAGTTACTTAGACTTGGTTTAAACAAAAGGAAATCTCTCTAATGGTGAGAGCTGTCCAACAAGACAAGAATCTACCAACGAAGGGGGTAGTTTTTCCAACAGGGCAATAGTCTGCCAAACAAGGTTGTGAGTTTCACATCACTGGCAGACGTTGAAGAAGTAGGATAGTTTAATTGGTTTTCCCGCACGTTATGTGAGGGCCAGAGAAAGTATTATTTGTGGAGAGTGTGCTGATTCTACAATTCTGCATGATGTTCATTTTCTAGGCACAACAGTCAACATCCCACCCCATGCCTGGACCAGGTCTACGCTCCCTAGAGAACCTCTCCAAAATGCTGGAAAAAATTGCAAAACTGCAGATAGCCAACACGGAAATCCAACACGAGCAACAAGTATTGGAATGTCGAGTCCAGGCCTTGGAATGGCGGATCTGCACCCTGGAACAAGAGAAGGTAAGAAAAAACTATAGGAAATAAATTTTAATTTATAGAAGTTGGTCACCATTGCAGAGACAGAATAGGGGTGGGGGGAGAGAGAGGAAGAGATGGAGAGAATCAGAGAGACAGAGTGAGGCAGGGGGAAAGAGAGAGATTTGTTCAAAATCAACCAGTTGAGTGTCAGGGCCTAGTATGGATTTGAATCCTGTTCTGATGCTTCAGTTCCATTACAGATAGTCCTCAACTTGAAGCCATTCATTTAGTCACTATTTAAAATTACAAGGTCACAGAAAAAGTGGCTTATGACCATTTTTCACACATGATCATTGCAGCCTTCCCATGGAGAGGAAGTTACCAAAATCCAGACACTTTTGTCTTTGTACGGCTATGTTTCTTTAAGAAATGTGGATTCCCAGAATCCCCATGGCTGAGGAATTCTGG